TTTTAATAAACTGTCCGTGAGATTCTTCCCCTCCCCTCCTTTCCTGCTGGTTTACTTGCATTCTTATATGTTCAGTGTTTTTCTCTTCTGTCTTTGTTCCAGTTTATCAGCAATTTACACACAGTTGTTTCCCAGACTCCATGATTTCAACAGCAAAAATAACACTGACCTTTTGAGCCCATGAGAAATCTTGTTGGTGGTAATTTAGCAGAAAGTTACAGTAATGAACAAGAACTCTGCTCTTAAATGTTAGATCACTAAATGTGTTTTATGAGTGTTTATTACTTCTTTAATGCACTTCCTGTGCACCACCGAGATAGCCATATTCCAGGGAAGGATGAAGTTTTTAATTGGTGAAAGTGGCCAATTCTGCTTTAAGGATACATTTTCAGGTGTGATTTAGTCATAGCAATCAAGGAAAATGTTTCTAGCTAGAAAGACAACAGCACTAACAACAGAAGGGATCTTCCAAAGATACATTAACTCTGAAWACTGTGAGCAGGGCTTTTCCTGTGGGAGGGAAGGCAGAGTGGCTGAAAACTTAGATTTCACTTCGCAGATTTGGGGCTGCYTGGGGACTGGTTTGGTCCCAGGCATGCCTGAGAGCAGGCAAAATGTATTGTCAACAATAAACTTCCTCAGTTTTTAGCCACTTCCCCTCACCCAGCCTTCAGAACAGCAGGAAGCCAAAAGCAGATGACACAAAGCCARCTGGATGAGGTGTATAATTTAGCTCTCCTGCTCTCTAGGTGCACCTGTGGCTTTTGCAGAAACCTTTTGCTTTTATTTCACAGGTAAGACAAGGAATCTAAATGCAGGCCAGAATATTCCATCCGTATCAAAATCCTCAACTTCACTTTGGTTTAAGTTTACACGCAGACCCATTTATAAAACTGRGAACAGTGCTTGTAAGGATATAAGTAGAATTAGGAAGAGAGTTTTGTCTGCAACCAGTGTAAAGTCAAAAAAACCTCCAAAACCCCCAAMCCCCCCACCAAAGTTAAGTGTTRTTAGCAAGAGGTCATGGTACAAAAAAGTGATTTTTAAACAGAGAATCTTGGTTTTCCTGCATCATAGCAGCCTTAAACCAAAGCAGGACAGACAGGAAGGTTACCAACTCCCTTCTTTTAGCTGTGTATTAAGGAGYCTGAAGCTAGTGTTTTATCTTCTGCCTGTATTTTAGACCTTCTCCTCTCCTACACTTCAATTATGCTAATTTCCCCTCACTGCCTGTCTCTTACACTTGAAATGTTTTCAATTAGGTGTGATTCAAGATAATAGTTTTATATTTCCCCATGAAATAAGGGAATTTGTATTTGAGGTGAAGCAATGTAAAGACCTGACTGCAGTACCATTTGGTGATGTTTATTTTGTGGCCACTGCAAAAGGGCATTGTAGAAGATAATTTTAAAAGGAAGCTTAGACAGAGCACCAACATCATGTGCCCTTGCAGGACACATCTGTGTCCGTCCAAATCTCTCGATAGGTGTTAATGACCAGCAGCATGACACTGGGGGTATCTGAGGCAAGTTATTGGATTAGGGACATGAGATATTAATCTGCTTAGCTGCTGTGGGGAGCTATGTGTGACCCATTTCAAGGACTGACAGGAGAAGAAAGTGTCAGAAACATGATTCACATGATGATAGTAACAGTGTTTGTAAGAAGCTGTGTGTTTCAGAGGGAGTATAAATACATGCTACTAACTTAGGAAGGACAGACAGCAATGCTGCCTATAATCCTGCCTACGAGCACTGATTTGTGATGCTGTTCAGCCTTTCCTCCTATCTTGGGCTACAGTGGAAAGACTTTGTTTGTTTGTTTAAATCTTTTCTTGGATATTTTCCAATTTTAGCCTGGACTCCAGATATTTGGCTCTTAAATTCATTCTCCAGGGTGCTTCTGACTAATGCCAGGGTGCTATTGTGGGGTTTTACAGGAACTCTTGGGAAGAGTCTTGCAGTGCAGAGCTGTGGAGCAGTGCTACCAAAGGCCAGCTTCAGCTCTGCGATGGGATATGTGCAAGGCAGGGTTTCAGCACAGAAGCACACAAGAACTGTTTCTGTACAGATTACACTGTGTGGTCCTGACTTCTACACCCAGCTTCATGGACCACCCTGACTGAGGGCAATAGAGATGAAAAGCATGTGAACTTCAGAACCATTTTKTAGGAATTTCCCCTCATTTTGAAGAGCTTTAGTTCCATAAAATACTTATTTTCCTCTAAATCAGTTTTTACAGTTTGGGCTCATACCAAAAGGTTCAGCTGTTTCCGAAAACAATTATTTGGTCCAGGTAATGCAGAACTGGGAAGTTTAAATACAGAGGTTTGAAGAAGTCAGAATCAGAACTGGGATCTGGATTTGAGCATCCTACTTAACAGATAATTGCAATGACTGAGGTGGAACATTCAGACTTAAATCCAAGCCCTCTAATATGCTTTGTCTGGGATATGGAAGGCATCTTCCTTTATTAGGTTACTTTCCTGCTCAACATTAACATTTCGTGCTTTGAAGGTTTATTGTGTTGGCTGGAGTTATACCTTTATATACACGCAGTCCCTATGGAATAGCCTGATCTCCTTTCATCATTATTAATAATTCTAGGTTTGTCATTTCCTATTCATGCAGTCTGGACCTCACCGCGTTGTTGCAGGATGGTTGATACGGTGCACAGGAAATGTTCTGTTTTTTCAGGTCTCCACTGCTCCTAAGTATTCTTTTCAGGGGCTCCAGTTTTATTGCCATGAAGTCCATTTCCTACATGTAGTACAATTTACTAAATTACAAATAAACAAGGCACCAATAGAGAAGTCAGTGAAAGTTCACACTAAGAATAGAACTTGAAGAGAAAAGTTCAGTTATGTGACCTTCTTCAGGAGCTGGATACAAAATAGACCTGCTGTTTTTCCCTTTAATTTGCAGACCAGGCAGAAAAGAACTCAAACGGTTCCCAGAGAAACCCAGGCCCTTCTGTTTGTTTATAYGAATCCTCCAGAAATGCTTTATCTGTTGACATCCTGGGTATGCCAATATRGAAATGAACTCACTTGGCCTCCTCATTCCCCCCACTGTATTGTCAGCTGATTTTTGCATTGATCTCCCTTGCTGTGATGTATAAAGACCTGCCAGCCATGAAAGGAACAAAATGTTACTGATAGCTACCTTTAAAATCGGCCATTAAAGGAAATTACAATCATCAGATGAAAAATCTGATGTATGCATAAGTCACTGCTTATTATTGCCCTTCAGAAATATGTTTGGRAAAGAAAAATAAYTSCTAAAGACAGGTTTTTAGGCCCTTGGTCATCAGCAGGGAGATGCAGCATGGTTGAGTACAGGCCAAATACTGACTCAAAGTAGTAGCTATTCACTTTTAAAAAGTTCCTTCCTTGCAGATGGTGGAGGGTTTTTATTCCTTATTATTCAAAATTCTTTCATTTATAGCATACTATAATCTGTATTTTCAGTTTATCTCAAAAATTCCCCCAAAGATTAAAGGGGTGGGGGATTTTCTGTCTAAAGGAGTCCTAAACTGCCCTTTAGGAGTTATTCCAAAGAACCCCTTCCCTTAAAAAAAGCCCCAGAAYAGCACATCTGCTCTGGTGCACTTGGCAGGCAGAGTGTCACTGCAACTTTTTGGGTTAAAAGGAGTGAATTAGAGAGAACCAAGTATCTCCAAATGCCTTGATGAAACCAGACTATCCCTGGACACTTTCTGCTTGAAGTTAAATATTAGACACTTGCTCCCTGACATTCTTTTTTTTTTTTTTTATTTAATCTAAAAGGCTTAATATTTAACTCAAAATACCTAACAACTGCAAATGTTAAGTGCTGGAAGTTGTTACATCCCTCAGCAGATACATAAAGCAGTGCTTAAACTTGGTGGGATATATTTAGACATGTAGCCATCTCTGGACTTTGGGCTCCACTTGAATGAGAAAACCAATTGCTATGCTGTGAATTTCTGTGTGTTTTGAAGCAGAAGGCAGAGTCCGTGGCTCAGTGGGAATAACTAGTTTAAACAGGGTGTCTGCCTGGTACCTGCAGAGAGAAATGTCCTTTATTWGATGCACTTTTATTTTGTCCCAGATGAAGGTCTTAATTGGTTCAATCCTTTGTCTGACATTAACTCTGTTTTTGGGATGGATTTCCAATTATAATGAGCCTCAAATCCATGTTAAAGTCAAAGTTAATTATTACTGGCTCATGTTCAGTTTTACTGCAACTTAAATGGACACACACATATCCATGAGAACTACTGCCATTTTATGACCTATTTCCAAGCCTTTTTGTTGGAACTCTATTAGATAAAGCTCCTAAAGATTTTAGGAGCTTTTAGATGAGTTATGTCTGAAGCACAAGAGTTSGTCCAGAAGTGGTAAGTTGCCAGAAACAGCCACATCCCCAGGACCCTGGGCATCCCATCAGCTGGACCAATGCTGGAACCAGGGCCGGTGATATTTTTCCTTTCCCTTTTCCCCTTTTTCTTTCCTTCTTTC